ATCATCAGTTCTTTCTCTGATTTCCTGGCTGGTTTGTTAGAAAATGTTTGTTTACCCTCTTCTGTTCTCAGGGAGTTACGGGGAGCTCCTTTTCTCCATCCCATGTTGTTTGCCAGAGTTCCAGAGAAGTTAGAATCACGAATTAATTCAGCTTTATCGTCGTTGGCTTCTCGCTTTTCTAGCGCTAATTTGGGAGTGTCGACTCGTCCCGGAGAAACGGGATTGACCCTCTCTACTGCCCTTATGACTAACAACTCTTTTATGGCCTGGGAACGAAGCTCCACTCGTCGTGGATCTGTTGGAGATGAAATGGCAACATGCTGTGCAGAACAAGATGGAGGTGATGTAAATTGAATGACCAACCCTGAAACCAGAACAAGGAGTGCCCATGGATCCCAGGTGAAAGAACTCATTATGTCCAGAAAGTGATGTAATTGTGATCCCACTACTCCTCCGCCCACGGGATAGTTACCGATGCCAATGTCGACGGTCCACCCGAGCCGAAGATCCTCGAGAATATGGACGGACTCTATTATGGGATCCAATAGACCTGGGAACCGAAGGAGGGGGTCGGGAAGCACTCTTTTGTTCCCGTTTATTGAATGTACCCAAGAAGACAGGAGATTGTCGTCCAATCATCAAGCTGTCTCGACTCAACCAATTTTTTAGATCCTCCTCGCTTTACAATGGAATCTATTCTCAACCTATGATGACAATTTGTGCCAGGGCTCTGGATGACTAAGTTCAATGTTACCGATGCTTATCTACATATTCCCATAAGGGAATCGTCCAGAAGATTTCTCAGATTTGTGCACAAATGTCAGGTGCTGCAGTTAAGAGCTCTACCTTTTGGTCTTGCATCAGCACCTTATGTCTTCTGCAGAGTTGCTCGAGCTTTTTCTCGTTGTCTGCATTTCTTGGGCCTGTGCACACATCATTATATGGACGACTGGCTCTCTCTGGCACCTTTTCATCAATTAGCAGAACAACACTCAGATTCTCCTTTCAGAAGCCACAAAAGCGGGCTTCCTCATCAGACTGGAGAAATATATTCTGTCATCAACATAAAATCTCGTCTGTCTGGATGTGTTTTTCAATACTAAATTAAGTCGTGCTCAACAACCCCTATCAGGTTTCAAGACATGGTAAGAGCCATCAGGCTTTTACTTATGTCTCCTCCTCCTCCTGCACAGAAGTCTCTCTCTCTTTTGGGGTTGTGGGCATCCCTCGAATCCTTCATTCCTTTGAGACTAGGACATGAGCTCTTTTCAGTGGTCAGTGCATGATCAATGGATCATGCATTCTGATACTTTGGATCATCCTTTCTCATTACTCAGGAGCAACATTGTTGATTGCGAATGGTGGTTGGATCAGAACAACAACGCCCATTCCACAACCTCATCCCGAGATCCATTTGTTCACAGACCCATCTTTTCAGGGATGGGGAGCTTATCTTGAAGGTCACGAGTTCCAGGGTATTTGGACAGAAGACGAGTCTATCTTCCACATCAACGTTCTCGCACTCCTTGCAGTACACTGGGCAATGGTTTAAGGTCTGTCTCTTGAAGGGAAAAATTTTCATGATACTTTCTGTCAATTCCATGGTGGTATGTAAGATTTACCATCAAGGAGGCAGATATTCTCGAGATCTTTGTTTTCGTACTTTGGATCTTCTCTGCTGGGTTCATTACCATCGTATAAGTCGTTTAGCATATCATGTTTCAGGAGTGATGAATTTACTTGCCGATCACTTGTCTCAACCCAACCGGATTCTTCCAAAGGAATGAATGCTACATCACGAGGTTTTTCAGTGGGTTTACTCTCAGTTCAGGTCTCCAATGATTGATGCTTTTGCGACTCACTGGAATTCTCAACTACAGTTCTTTTGGTCTGCGATATCTCATCCTCAAGCATTGGGATTAGATGCACTCACTCAGGACTGGACAGGTTTACATATGTATGCTTTTCCCCCGATTCGGCAATCGCTATGAAGTCTGACTATGGTTCATTCTACTCCCTGTCGAGTTCTCTTGGTTTTACCATATTGGCCAGCTCAAACGTAGTTTTCACTTCTTCAGGATCTGTAGGAATGTCCACCCCTACCTCTTCCACATCGACAGCCTCTTTTGAGACAACCTAGATTAGACATTCTTCACCCAGATGTTAGGAAACTCAATCTTCACGCGTGGAAGTTATGTGGTCCTTTTCTCAAAATAAGGGTTTAACTTCTAAGGTTTCTCTATATTTAACTAAATCTCTCCATATGTCAACCACGGCCATGTATCAGCAGAAATGGAACACTTATCGTCAGTGGTGTATTAAAAGGAATTTAAACCCTTTTCATCCTAAAATATCTACCATATCACGTTTTATGACTTGGATATTTGAGAAGGGTCCCGCTTCTTCTATGGTGGCTTTGTATAAAGCATCGTTATCCACTATATTTTGTTATTCCATATATCAGAAGGTTTTTCAATTCACGGTACTATCAGGTCTACTAAAATCCTTTCATATTCTTCGACCCAAACGACCTTTTCAATTACTGCATTGGTATTTTACAGTTGTTTTACATGCATTGTGTCACCCTCCCTTTGAGTCCTTAGCTTCGTGTTCTTTAGTTCACCTTTCTCTTAAATTGTATTTTTTGTTGTTGTTGGCTTGTGGACGTTGTCAGTCGGAGTTGTTTGCAATCCATGTGCATCGGACTCCTTATCATTCTACATTTGTCCTACTTTACCCCAATAGGCCTTTTCTTCGCAAGACTCTGCCAGCCAGCGAAGGGGAAAGATCCTTCTCAATCCATTTGCCAACAATTTCTCACCTTTAGGACTGCTCCAATCCTGATCGTTTGTTATGTTCTGTTAGGGCCCTCAAGTGTTATGTGGCTCGTGCTAACTCATTTCGAGGTAGTAGGAATTGATTGTTAATTCATTGGAATCCTTCTATTTCCAGTGAGTTCTCCCATTACCATAATGAGGTTGCTTCATAAATTGATTCACATGGTCTATAAGGAATTATCGTTACAGGAGAGCAATCTTTTGTGTGTCAAATCTCACCAGATTCGCCGTATCTCTATGTCATAAGCCACCCAGTTGAATTGTCGTCAGGAAGACATTGTGTGGGCTGGTTTGTGTACTACTTCTAATAGCTTCCTATCCCATCACTTACACGATCTAGCAGTTTCCTCTTCTGAGGGTTATCAACTACCATCCATAGCTATTTTGACCACATCTGTTAGATTTTAACCCGATGTGAGTATTTTCCTCATGCATATACTCTTTTATTTCTAAGGTCCTTTTATACTTTCACAGGATCCCATTCTGGGGCGAGTGTTGCCCAGGCAGGTATGCTTTCTCTTTTCAATTCTGCACTAGCAACCACTTTCCCTATAATTACTACAGGTTGCCACAGGCTCTGTCGAAATGTGGTATTCAGTGAGACCATCTATGCGCCTACCAGATGGTATTACCTTATTATTATGGACTACCACTCATGGACTATCATGAGTAAAGCTAAAGGAGATCTGCACATCCCTGCCAATCTTCAGGTTGAATAAGTCAGGGTCGATTTGCATTTAATAATGTAGAGAACTTGGTTCGCGTATTGCACAGTTTCTAGAGCACTGTTCCTCGCCCCCCCCCAACTCTATTAGTGGAGCTCGGGAGTCCTTAACACCCCAGTTTCCAGTCGCTGGAGTAGCAGACAGAGGCTTTTCCTCCAGAATGTTCGAGTGTGTTCATTCACTCTTGGAGAAGAGGGCGAATTTGGAGCCCTCCTACTCCAGATGTTTTTCCCAGATATCAGTAGGAGTGGTACCAACCTCCACGAAAGCCTACTCTGGTTCAGATTTAGCACGAAGCTATCCGGATTTGGAGGTGGGTGCATGACCCTTTTCTTTTATCAATGTCAGTTTCGTATGTTGTTCATGGAAGGAGGTCCACTATATCCTCATACTTCTGAACACAAAGTGGTCCCATCTTAGATCCTTGGTTGTGCACAGGTTCCATTTCCTCTCCATAATTCTAGGAGCAAGCGTAAAACTCCTTGCCCACTTGGTTGGAGAGTTAGGATGAATATTCATAATTCCAGACTGGATGAGTTCCGTTTCTTTGGTTGACTACAGCATATACGATCCCGTCATTGTCCTGGGGTGTTGCCTTTTGGAATTGTTCAGTTGGAGGAGAAAGTTTGTCCATTTTGGTGCTGCTTACTTTCTTGGCGTGATTCTGGTGGTGCGACACGCATCACTCTATGGCTACAGGTTGGGATCCAATCAAAAGTATATATAATATTGCAGTCCAATAGCCCTAGCCACCAACGTGAGATATAGGTACCACTACCCGTACATTCCAACCCAGAGTTGTGGAACCTCGTCTATATGGTTGGGGTTGGCCTATACTGACGATTACTCTTATTCTGTTCCACCTTTAACATAGGAACTGAGTTCCTGGTGAAGAGCATAACTATTCTGGTTGTAGTGAGGTTCTCCCAACATTTGTACCATTTTTATCCTGGTACAATCCTGTTCTATACAGAAACTTTCTGTATGGTTCATGCCTGCACCGGCCCCTCCACCTTCTTAATGTGTGATTCTAGCTATAGTGTCAGCAGAGATAAGTATGTTTTGGAAATTAACATTTTCCTAAACTAAAATGCCTTACCTCCCCATTAACAGCCGGTTTACATTACATTATCTGAACGAGGTGCTTATATATATAGTTCCTAGATAGAGGGCGCATTAAAGTTTATGGATAATTTTGCAAATTAGAATTTACCAAGGGCATTCAAGTGGAATATTAAGACTGCAGCAAGCGTTTTAATGTTTAGATAGGCAAAGAGTGGAAATCCTAGAGATCGAGAAATAGCTATAGTGTCAGCAGATGGTAAGTATTATTGGAAATACTTATTCAGTTTAAGAGAATGTTAACTTTTGTAATTGTGTCTCAGAAGCGATGAGTTTATATTTGTGTCTCAGTGACAGTGAAGTTATATTTTTGTAGGCTCTGAAGATACATATTAGTGAGATAACAAAACAACAGCTTGATGACAATGATTGGGAGATCTCAGAACGAGGAACTATTCCTGTAAAGGTGCGTATGTTAAACGTTATAAATTTGCATAAGTTCTGTTACTTGGTCAATAAACAGAACACAGTAAACCGAGTTAATTTTGAGTCTGTTTATTATTTGATGCTTAAATCAGTCTACTGGGAAATGATAAAAGAAAGTTTCAATATACTGTGTTGATACTCTGGTATCTGGGCATCTGGTATCTACTAGCAAGTTGTATAAAACATTCTAGAAACCCATAATGAGAAAATTAATGGGGCATCTGGTATCTACTAGCAAGTGGTATAAAGCAATCTAGAAACCCATATTCCAGCACATCCCTTCCTTAGAGAAACTTCTGGTCAAACAGTAATAGTCTCGGAAAGTAATAGTTCATGAAAATATTTTATCAAAATCTTATAATATTGTATCAGAATCTTACTTATGTACTAGCAATGATTAATACGAGTACTGCGTTACTAGGTAATATTTAAAACACTAAATTAAGGCCGGTCATGGATGTACTTCAACAACCCTCATCAAAGCCAAATACAACTCAAAAGCCTCAGTAGCATTGTAAAACACTAATACCACTTATAAGCAAAACACTTCTTTAGGGCCTTCCACTGTAAACACATTGCATTCCACATAAGGTCCCTGATCTTTTCAATTGGTGCATTTGAGTAGAAACCAGCCAAAAGGGAAAGTGCCTAGAAAGATACCCCAGGAGAATAGTCATTGGTGGGCAGATGCTTTAACGTCCCCCTTCTGACAATCTTAGTCACCACCAAATCTCAGAAGATCTCAAGATCCTTCTTGATTATGTTGCGTACTATTGCCTGGACACATGGACGGCGCTTGCATTTAACCTTTGTCTTCGTGGCTTCTCGCCTATTACAAGACACCTTACTTTGATTACCAACTCTGGGTACGACTTGTTGGTCTCTCTTCTGAATGGACCTTATACCCCAAGTTGATTCCTATGTTTTTGTATTCCAATGCCATAAAGCACAAGGGATATTCACGATTGGAAATTATAAATCGTCAGTATGAGCAAATCTTTATGATCTGAGTGTATGAATACTTTATTGCTCTATATTCTTCCCAAACGTGATCGATTTTCGTGGCATAGAACAACCTACGAATGAAAATCAATGTCAAAATGTAGTTTTGAAACTTTCTTTTTCACTACGACTTAATATTGGCTGTAGTTGTTATCTAACTTGACGATTTATAATCATTTTAATATAACGCACGTTGTGTTTATTTATCTTCAATTTAACATTATGTTTTTTAAGAATACTTTTGTTTACATCTAATATAGGGCAAAGGAGAAATGAAGACTTACTGGTTAAACAAAAGGAAAGGTGACAGACGCCCAGTAACAAATCAACCAAAGATTTCATGTACACCACCCAAGGTGGACAATGAAGACACTCGCTCCTTATATACTCCTGTCACATTTGATGAAGTTGCTAGACGGTCTGCTTCTCCAGCTTTAACATCGCAACCAGTAAGTACACCTGTGATCGAGATTCCTGATACAACGATCAAACCTGGTAACGGGAAAAACGTTGCGCCCGCTACAACAGGGCCAATGTTACTGTCTGTTTCAAGCCATTCTCATTCCTCTCCTGCCAATCAACATTGTCAACGATGTAAAAAAGTGCGAATTCCCAAACAAGCCTGGACTAATGAACCCGTTTATCCAGGAGTAAATGGATGGATGAAGCCACATCAATTCAACCATCACCACCATTGGCACAACAGTGGACCCTACCATATGTATGGTAGCCAATTAGCTTACTCGTCTTACTTTCCCATGTACTACGAAAGCCACATGAAAAACTATGGCAGAGGACAACTTTCCATGTTGAGTAATGGGAGAGACCACAGCTGTTGTTGGAACAAGTCGGAGAGGGCTATTAATACCAATACTTGTTCTATTCTATAATACAGTTAGTAAATAATATGCAGATTACCTTGTTATAAAAGTATATAATGTTGTATTAGTTAGCAGATCTACCATGAAAGCTGCAGAGCACTGATTACACCTATAAACATGATTTTCTTAATTATGAGAAGTATAGAGTCAAATATAAATTCACAACACCATTCAAATTTTATCCGAACCTGGTTAAACAGTTTGAAACATATTTACGTCATCATTCAAGTTCTAATGGTGTCTGGTAATACAAAATCTAACCAACATTCAACGTTTATTAGTGTCTGGTAATATAGTTTTATATTAAACCTAGTCAACGTTCAACGTTTATTGGAGCCTAGTTAAACAGTTTGAAACAGATTTACGTCATCATTCAAGTTCTAATGGTGTCTGGTAATACAAAATCTAACCAACATTCAACGTTTATTAGTGTCTGGTAATATAGTTTTATATTAAACCTAGTCAACGTTCAACGTTTATTGGAGCCTAGTTAAACAGTTTTACACTCAATACTTAATATAAATTTTGTCTGGTTATACAGTTTTAAACTGAAACACTTACCTGGCAAATTCATAACCATATCTTTGTCTGATTATACAGTTTGCATTCATTACTCACTATGTAATTTTGTCTAGTTATGCAGTTTTAATATCACTATTCACTATGTTTTTTTTTTCTCTGGTTGTAGAGTTTTACATTCACTACTTACTATATATTTTTTCTCTGGTTGTAGAGTTTTACACTCGCTACTCACTATGTATTTTTTCTCTGGTTGTAGAGTTTTACACTCGCTACTCACTGTGGATTTTTTCTCTGGTTGTAGAGTTTTACACTCGCTACTCACTATGTATTTTTCGTCTCACTTTCCATTCGCTACTCACTACGTATTTTTTCTCTGGTTGTAGAGTTTTACACTCGCTAATCACTATGTATTTTTCTCCGTTAGAGTTTTACATTCGCTACTCCCTTTGTATTTTTTCTCTGGTTATACAGTTTTACACTCGCCACTCACTATGTATTTTTTCTCTGGTTATACAGTTTTACACTCGCTACTCACTATATATTTTTTCTCTGGTTGTAGAGTTTTACACTCGCTACTCACTATGCATTTTTTCTCTGGTTGTAGAGTTCTACACTCACTACTCACTATGTATTTTTTTTTCTAGTTGTAGAGTTTTACACTCGCTACTCACTATGTATTTTTCGTCTCGCTTTCCATTAGCTAATCACTATGTATTTTTCCCTGGTTTGCGAGTTTTACACTCGCTAATTACTATCTATTTTTCCGATACAGTTTTTACACTCTGGTTATAACGAAAGAGTTAGCACAAAGGATAATCAAAAATTCCTAATATATTTTTTTAAAAACACAGAAAACTCTCTAGTTATTTGTTTAGCATTTTCGTAAGAATATCGCTAATATCAAATGCTAAAATCCTGATTTTTTGTTCGTCTTTCCTTACGGAATGTTTCTATCCATTTCTATACTTAATAAACCTAATAAACCACTTGTTTCTGTTTGTATTTAGATCAATTTTAACACAATTACTCGTATTTTTCTCAAAAATAGTTTTGATTTTTCGAATTATTGTATGAATTGTACAGACTATAGATGTCGATTTCAGATTTACGTCTTTCCCTTCTCTCTCAGGACAACAGAAAACTCGACGTTTCTGGACGCCACACTGCGACGCATCTGCGTATAAGGTAAACCGACACCTACCGACAAAAGATTCCTTAAACTGAAATTTCTCAGATTTTTCGGCATACTATTTATATTGTTTCATGCACTTAGATATCTAGTTAAAATATGGTGGAAAATTAAAGTATATCATATAAAGACACGTGTATAATATTATATTACAATATTAAACCTTTAGTAAAATATATCATTCACTTTCCAATCGATACTTACATAGGAAAACTTTAAAATGATATATCCCCCTTTCAAGAACGCTTTTATTGGTTTCACAGTTATTAACCAGATTTAGTCATTAAATGAAGACAAAAGTATTTCACATAATGTCTTAGATTTATTAACCTTTAAAGACTGTAGTATCTCAATGTATAAAAATGATAATAAATTAAATTACAAGAAGATGACATCACTATCTTCCTTAGTCTCTGGTTGATATTTCTTCTAATTACATCAGTTTGGTTAACAGGGTTCACACAAACTTTATCAAACTGATGTAATTAGGAAACATATCAAACAGAGACTAAGGAAAACGGTTAACAGGGTTCACACTTATCGTTCAAACTTTATCGTTTTCCTTAGTCTCTGTTTGATATTGTTACGTCTCCGTTCGTTAATTAATTTTCCGTAAATTCATTCCGACGAAACTTTAGCGACACAAGTCCTTTCTTAGATAAAACTGGTTTATTCTTTCCGAATACAACTTTACGATACACTCAACTTCAACAGTCGCTCTGTAACAAACGCTATAATTCTCAACGAACTTCTCACGTGCTTAACAATATTCTCTCTGACTGCAATTCAATTACTCGTTACCTCTGTTGTCCCGTCACGTTGTGACCATCTTTTATATACCAGACTACCCCCAATCTAGTAGTCTCCCGATAATTCACGAAGGTTCGAGAAGGACGTGGCGTGATACTAGTCACGTGACCTCGCTGACGCAACAATATGTTTCCTAATTGCATCTGTTTGGTTAACAGGGTTCACACAAACATTATTGTTTTGTTACTGAACCAACAGTAACGTTCTATGATAAAACGAACCTACAGAGGCTGAGATCAAGTAACAGCCTACACGAAATCACAGTAAGAATAAATTACATTTTAACATTGAATTGTTTACTCGGTAACATAATATTGTTACGATAGCGGAAGTCGCGTGACGCTGGGAGCATGCGCGCTGGAGTTTCTGGAAGGATCCTGAATTCTCGGGGAGGCTCGAGTCTGTTCAAGGCGCCATCTTTGTTAGTATATAAGCCTGGTGAGAAAGACCAGCGCTAAAAGTCAGAGTCAAGCGAACAGTAGGCACCGTAAATAAAGTGTGTGAATCGCTGTGAATTATAGCGTGTGTTTATAAAAGTAGCTAAGTTAAAGTGACTGTGGAAATTCTGTGTATTACTAAAAGTTGTATCAACAAAGAATAAACTAGTTTCAATCAAGACAGGACTTGTATCGCTGAAGGTCTTCGGAAAGAATTTCTACCGGAAATTAACAAACAAACAGATACCTAACAGTATCATACAACCCTTTCTGACACAAAATATTCATAAAGATGCTTTTGGATCGGGGTTTAGTTTTCAGGATGGGAACATTGGAAAATAAAGGACCGGGACCATTCAGAGAGGATCGCAACAAGTCATATTACAGTTGTAGTAAGCGAGGTGCAGGATATTGTACCAAGTGAGAATCCAAGAACGCAGACGGTTTTGGGGTAAACCATCCACGTGTCCTAAACAACAGTATACAACATAATTACTAAACATGTCTGTTTGTAAAAGCCACGTGTAAACATGAAACAAAACGTTAACTAACAGAACTAATATTCTCCACACAGTTCGTCTCGAATTTCTTATTGAAGGCACAATAAATTACGACAATATTTTAAACACAGGACAGGAAGATAAAACAGTAATGATAAACTAAGAACATAAAGGAAAATTAAAAAGTACAGATAAACTAAGAACATAAAGGAAAATTAAAAAGTACAGATAAACTAAGAACATAAAGGAAAATTAAAAAGTAAAGATAAACTAAGAACATAAAGGAAGATAAAACAGTTATGATAATCTAAGAATATAAAGGAAAATAAAACGGTTATGATAATCTAAGAATATAAAACAGTTTGATAATATACGAGCATAAAGGAAGATCAAACAGTTATGATAAACTAAGAACATTAAGGATTATAAAACATTTATGATAAAGTAAAAACATCAAGAAAAATAAATCAGTAAAGATAAACTAAGAATATAAAGGAAGATAAAACATTAAAAATAAATAAAAACATAAAGGAAAGAAAAGCAGTTATCATAAACTAAGAACATGAATTCTAATTAAAACAAAACTCACACTTGTATTTGAAATCCAAAGTGCAAGTGGAACAACAACGAACATTCGATACGCTTGTTAACATTTGCTTCTTCAACGTTTCTCAATGACATATTATAAAGATTGGCTAATGAGTTATGTAAATAAACGTAATACTTCATTACTTGGAAAAATATTTTGAAAATAACTCCTAAATATAACATTGAAACGTGTTTATGAGTGAAAGCTGGTAAGAGGCTCTGATAAATATGCTTTTTGATGACTTTGTACTGGAAAATATATTTCACTTTAAGTGTTTTTGGTTACAAACCTGTCCTGATTATTACAAACCGAATTTATATAGACGGTATGTTGATGATACATTTCTACTCTTTCGAAGCTCTAACTACATTAAACAATTATTGGTTATCTAACGTCGAAACACCGTAAAAGTAATTTTACTTCTGGAGCTGAAAAAATTGGTAAACTGCTCATCTAGACATCTAAATCAGCTGATTAGATAATCATTCACAACATCTGTTTATCGTAAGGAAACATATGCTGGCTTTAAATAACAATTCATAACATCTGTTTATCGCAAGGAAACATATACAAGCTTTAAATAACCAGTTCACAATATCTCTTTATCGTAAGAAAACATATACAGGCTTTAGATAACCAGTTCACAACCTCTGTTTATCGTAAGAAAACATAAATAGGCTTTAGGTAACCAGTTCACAACATCTGTCTATCGTAACAAAACATATACAAGCTTTAGATAACCAGTTCACAACATCTCTTTATCGTAAGAAAACATATACAGAATTTAAATAACCAGTTCACAATCTCTGTTTATCGTAAGAAAACATATACAAGCTTTCATAACCAGTTCACACCATCTGTCTATCGTAAGAAAACATATACAATGTATAGATAACCATTCATAACATCTTTTTATCATAAGAAAACACATACAGGCTTTAGCTAACCAGTTCACACCATCTCTTTATCGTAAGAAAACATATAGAGAATTTAAATAACCAGTTCACAACCTCTGTTTATTGTAAGAAAACATATACAAGCTTTGATAACCAGTTCACACCATCTGTCTATCGTAAGAAAACGTATACAATTATTAGATAACCATTCATAACATCTTTTTATCATAAGAAAACATATACAGGCTTTAGATAACCAGTTCACACCATCTCTTTATCGTAAGAAAACATATACAGACTTTACATAACCAATTCACAACCTCTGTTTGTCGTATAAAAACATAAATAGGTTTTTGGTAACTAGTTCACAACATCTGTTTATCGTAATAAAACATATACAAGGTTTAGATAACCAGTTCACAACATCTCTTTATCGTAAGAAAACATATACAGGCTTTAGAAAACCAGTTCCCAACCTCTGTTTATCGTAAGAAAACATAAATAGGCTTTATATAACCAGTTCACAACATCTGTCTCTCGTAAGAAAACATATACAGGATTTAGATAACCAGTTCACAACCTCTGTTTATCGTAAGGAAGCATATACAGACTTTAAATAATCAGTTCACAACCGCTGTTTATCGTAAGAAAACATATACAGGCTTTAGATAACCAGTTCACAACCTCTGTTTATCGTAAGAAAGCATATACAGACTTTAAATAACCAGTTCACAACATCTGTCCATCGTAAGAAAACATATACAAGCTTTAGATAACCTGTTCACAACATTTCTTTATCGTAAGAAAGCATATACAGACTTTAAATAACCAGTTCCCAACATCTGTTTATCGTAAGAAAACATATACAGGCTTTAGATACCCAGTTACCAACATCTGTTTATCGTAAGAAAACATATACAGGCTTTATATAACCAGTTCACTCCATCTCTTTTTCGTAAGAAAACATATACAGACTTTAAATAACCAATTCACAACCTCTGTTTATCGTAAGAAAACATATACAATGTTTAGATAACTATTCATAACATCTTTTTGTCATAAAAAACATATACAGGCATTAGATAACCAGTTCACACCATCTCTTTATCGTAAGAAAAATTATACAGACTTTACATAACCAGTTCACAACCTCTGTTTATCTTAAGAAAGAATACACAGACTTTAAATAACCAGTTCACAACCTCTGGTTATCGTAAGAAAACATATACAGGCTTTAGATAGCCAGTTCACAACCTCTGTTTATCGTAAGAAAACATATACAGTATTTAGATAACCAGTTCACAACCTCTGTTTATCGTAAGAAAACATATACAGGCTTTAGATAACTAGTTCACAACCTCTGTTTATCGTAAGAAAACATATACAGGATTTAGATAACCAGTTCACAACCTGTGTTTATCGTAAGAAAACATATACAGAATTTAAATAACCAGTTCACAACCTCTGTCTATCGTAAAAAAACATATACAATGTTTAGATAACCATTCTTAACATCTTTTTATCATAAGAAAACATATACAGGCTTTAGCTAACCAGTTCACACCATCTCTTTATCGTAAGAAAACATATACAGACTTTACATAACCAATTCACAACCTCTGTTTGTCGTATAAAAACATAAATAGGCTTTTGGTAACTAGTTCACAACATCTGTTTATCGTAATAAAACATATACAAGCTTTAGATAACCAGTTCACAACCTCTGTTTATCGTAAGAAAACATATACATGGTTTAGATAACTAGTTCACAACATCTTTTTATCGTAAGAAAAAAATACACAGGCTTTAAATAACCAATTCACAACCTCTGT